GCTTTTTTGCTCGACTTGGCGGGGGCACTAGCGTGCCCTCAGATAAGTATTCCTATCTCTTGTCTTTTAAAATATATAAATTACGTGTCACATTGTTTGTCCGCGATGGACTCCTAAACTACTTACCCGATTTTATTCAAATTTTCACACCGTGTGCAGTTTGGTCCAACTTGAGAGATAGGGTAGTTTTTTTGCCCATGAGAAAGCCACAATTTTTTTTTGCGAATTTATTGATTATCCATACGACATGACAAACGGTAATTGAAATCGGCAGCATAAAGGATGGCTCACGCTAGACCGTGACGGGTCCGAGCCAAGTGTCGGCCGTAGCACGGTCAACTAATATTACATATATTTTGTATGGACACACTCACGCTATACCGAGCGGCAACCGAGTGACGGCCGAACAACGGACAACGCTCGGCAATACCTCGGTCCGGCTTGTAGTTGAAGATTTATAAGATTCGTCATCGTCCAGAGCGATCGCATTAGCCGCTAATTTCATATCATCAAACTTCAACATGATTGTATATTGTAGTCTAGTTACAACACTATTTTGCTCGGACGAGTACACTGCATCACGGTGCAACGGTAATAGCTCGGTCTTTGTAATTTCAGGCACGGGACCGGCTCGGACCCGACACGGTCTAGCGTGAATCATCCTTAACGTATGCCTGGTAAGCTAGTAATATATAAAAAATAATATTTGTTTGTTATTTTATGCGCTGCCATACTGTTCATCAGATTGCGGTAAGACTTCGTCAAGTTATTGCTTGCACTACCGCGAAGATCATAGGCATAGTTGTACCCGGTAGATGGCGCTGTTGTAGAATCCAGATATAACCCGTGCGAAGTCGAGATAAAATTTTAAAAACACAAGGTAAAATCATACATTATAATAAAAAAGGGGGAAAAAGCAAATCAATAAAAATATTGTTATACACCTATCATATTCTATCACACTACGAGCTACGACTCATAGAAGCGGAGCAGTAACCGTAAACCTTGGTCATGAACTCATGTGTGTGAAACAGGCATGTAGGTACTTACTTAAACAAAGCGAAACCCTTATAAGATAATTTTGTTGTCTTTTTCTTAAAAAAATACGGCCCTTTACCACAGAATAAATAATAGTACTACGCCTTTACCCATATGTCATATTTTGATACAAACTCACACATCAAAACCTAGGGTACTTCCTGTTTGCCTAGAATTACGAAATTTGCCGAGAAGCAGTCACACGGCACAAGAAAAGAAAAAATCGAAAAATAGTAAATTTGTAATAATATCCCATTAAAAAGGTCCAAAAATTGGTATAAATGAAGACATCACGAACTATGTTATAGACAAGTGGTAAAATAAAAAATTGTACAACCGACGGCAATATAAATTAAATGAGAACAACATCAATGTACTCCAAGTCAATAAAAAGCATTATTAAGGATAACTCAAAAATTAATGGACAGATCAAGATAAAATTTATATGGGACCACATGAGAAGTTACCCAGAAAAAGTTCAGAAGTTATACATAAAAATACAGTCGCAGTAGATATTTCTGAAGAAGAATTGATTTTGTGGCCTAGTGGTAAATAAATACCACAACCAAAATTTGAAGACCTGAAGTTCTATAGCTGCAGCTATATACCGGCGAAGACACTCAGACTTGTCGCTGTATTTCATACTGTGAGTGCTAAGAACCGGATACCCTTTTTACTGGAAACGAGGCATTCCATCTTAGTCCTCAGGTGTGACAACGCATCTGCATTTGATTCTTAAACGAGGATATATGTAGACGTTTATGGGCCACAATACCCACTTCCATCAGGTGGGCTGTGTGCTCGTTTGTTACTCTTATTCTATAAAATAAAGTTTTAATTTTAAATATCTCAAAACTATCTCAATGTGGATTCCTTTCGTTGATCTACGTCCAATTTGGTTTAACCTGACTGAATACAAAAGTAAAACAATTGAGTTATTTTAATCATACAACTGTAATATTTAATTTAACTTATGTTGTGGGTATTTTATACTATGAATATATTTTAACTGTGAATTTATAAGTCATGATAATAGTAAGATACAATTAACCATAATATAAATTAAATTTTCGAACACTGTTCTGAACACAATGAGCTGCATGAAGGTGTAATACGATATATTAAAACAATGCATATAATATTATCACTTACGAATATCTTCTGCCACTTGGATGAAGGAATCCACAATAAGACATTGGTAAATTAGTTTTACACTGTATCGCGATGTTTTCATTTTCAAGTGCTAAAATAGTTTCCACGCCGCTATATTCAAAGACCCTGAAAGCTTTACGAAACAAATATATTTTATCTTGCTAAATAAAACTATCACATAGTCTCACTTCATTTTATGTTTAATGTACCGTAATTGTATTTTGAAAACACGATTAATATAATAAAAGTTATTAATCCATTCACTTTCACTACACTCATCATGTCAATTGTTTGTAGGTACATAATCAACTATTTCTTAATAATACCTACTGACTACCCTCGTTTTTACTTGACGATAAACATAATGAGATGTCAAAAGGTCGAGATTTATTTTGTTGACGTATCTATATTTATTTTGCTCTGATTACTCCGCGTTGTGTAAACTAACGTATCGTTTATATTAATAGGTACATAAATCAATGTGAGCAATATTTGTTTAAATTGTATAAAAAAATAATTTTCTAACGTCGAGTGAAGTTCGGTGGCCGTCAATTTTATAAATGAAACCCTACTTACGATTACATTAGACATTAGCATGCTTATAAAAATAGATAGGTACATACTTCTTGTCAAAGGTCTAAACCGAAATTGTTCAGTTACATATCATTCGATGTGACATAATTTACATCATTTTAGAGATACGAGTATCATAATATGATGAAAGAAATGTTTTACTGCAATTATATTTTATTGAAGAAGGTATGTATTTAAATTAAATAAATATATTTATTAATTTGTTACGTTTTTCGTAAGAGCTTGTTTTGTATGATTGTATAAACTAAAATACAAACACAGCATTGCAAACTACTTAACAAATTAAAAAATGTCTTTTATTGAGAGACGAATTTATATAGTATGTATATGTATACAATTACGTCTACTTAATAATGAAATTAGTGTTGGTCATTTCTTGGACATATTGCAGAATTTATTAATTACTTATTATTATTTAAAACAAGAAAGTTTAATTTGGTTTAAATGCAATACGTATTATGACTTTTGTGTAAGTTTGTGGTTATCAAAAATTAATAATATCTATGTTAAAGTATGAATATATTTTCTGTTGAACTGTACTTGGGGTGGAAAGGTGGAACAACAATCAAAAATTGAATTAATTATGCATCTCGTCTAGGGTGGATAAACGAATACGCGTTTCCGAGTACCTATCCACGCTAGGGTGGATAAACGGAATAACCCGGCGCTGCTCTCCCTCCGCGCCTACGGCTTTTTAAAAACTAGGGGTAGGGCAGACAAGACTACGTGGAGTCGCGGCGTTCTGATTCGGTTTTAGTATGGATTCGATCTGTCTTATTTATAATATATATATCGGCGCAACAACAATAGTTCGTCGATTATAATAAGGATTAATCATTAATTACGCTGTTTAATAATTTGATTGTGTTAAAAATAGTTCATAAGCCATTAGTTAATCACTGTTTGAATATTACAATGTAAATATCTGGCAAATCGCCTACTTGAACCAACATTCCGCCGCGCGATGATTCACATAATTCAATACATAACCTAAACTGGTGAACACGTGTCCGCCACGCTATAAATACGGCCGCACAAAGCGTGCAAGTGCTAGAGCAGTCTCGCTCGGGCGGTCGGACAGTGCACACCTCTCTAAATAAGTCGTTACGCTGTCGGTCGAATAAACGTGGCTTTTAGTCAAAGAGTATAATAAGTATATACAGGAAAAGAGAGCCCTCTGACGACAATTTTATTGCAGACAAAATTGAACTACTAGCGCCTCCTACAAATTGAATCCGAACTAATTCGCTATATATAGCTCTACATATACCTCTTCTATAGTAATAAAATGTATAATAAATGTGTTCTTTAATTCGTATTCGATTCAGTTTTATTGCCTACTTTTTTGTAATACTGTTTTTGATATTATTAAAAGTAGGTAAAACAGTTTCAGTAAGTACACTGGTATTTATGGGGTATTTGCAATGAAACAAGAAAGATAACGATGAGCACACGCAAAAAGTAGCCACCATTTTGACTTTCATTTTCGTTTGAATATTTGACGTTTTGAAGTTTAGGGTGGCCAGTATCATAATTATCATAGTCGATCGATTTCATAATGTTTAAGTTTTTATTTTATGTGAAAATAATATTTGTTATAAACAAAATCACCAATAAATTTATCATGCATTTAATTTTATTTTTCAGCTAATTTTAGTTTCTTAAAAGTAGCGACATCTGTGGAGACATTAGACCAATAATAAACATAATGTTTTCGGAAACAAATTATAGATGGCGCTACCTTCAATTGAATTCTTGTGGTCCAAGGCAACTGTCCTACCACTGCTTTCAGTATACTTGTAGTGTTTTCATTAGAAAATTAAAGATGAGTGATCACCATGAAGGTAACATTAGTGTAGTAACAGCTGCGCTGACGTCATACTTTTTAAAAACACAAAGGAGCTTGTTAATCCGTTATATAAAATAAAAAAACAAAAAAGCCGTTCAATACAGTAATGTATAGTCCTGGAGCCGATAATTTCCAGAATATTACCGTCATCACATCTACACCGACCTCAATAATTTTTCAGCAGTTAATTAGCACTTAACTCCTTGCTATTAATGTTTATCATATATCTATCTATTATCGTCACTGCGTTTGCTAGCAATACGTTTTGCCAGCAACGCAAATTAGCACCTAAAAAGCCGCTAATTTTGGCTTTTTCTAAATGCAAATTCTGACTTTGCGTTGCTGGCGAGACACAACTCTCAACAGCTTACGTTAGGTTATTATAAAAGTCTTCCTCTTCCTTGATTTGTCCCTTTATTTGGGGTTCAGCTCTCCTCGTTTGTATGCGCCAAGATATTCTATCTTGAGTTGTCTGTATTTCAAGCTTTGCTTGTTCCAGATCCTTTATAGTTATTATGATTACGGTTGTCCACCACGTGGCTAACGGGCGTCCTCTTCCTTTCTTTTTCTTTGGAATTGCCCAATCCTTCCTCACTGGGTGTTCTTCTTCCCGCCTCATTACATGCCTTGTTATGCCTGCTGACCATCGTAGCATTTTAATTTTATTCGTGTGCAACTTTTTTCCGTGGATCTTCTTGACCGCCCAGCACTCAGCACATGGCAGGTCTTACAGCCATTTTGTAAATCGTGCCTTTCAGTCATATTGGCATCCTGCTATCGCAATGTATTCCTGAACGGATTCTCCACCTTAGCCACGCTGCATTGATTCTGAGTTACGTCTGCGTCGATATTGACGTTCGCCGTTAGCACCAAACCGAGGTATTTTAATTTGCTGAAACTGCACCTCAGAAAATCTGTCTTGCTCCGGCTGATACGGAGATCATTGTTCCCGAAAGTCTGTCGCCATTGCTCAAGTGTGGCTTGTAGTTGAATTGATAGATGGATATCTTTACTTAGATAGTTAAAATAGGAATGGGCTTAGTGGCGATCCCTAATGCACTCAAACCTTAAATTGGAACGGTTCGTTAAGTCCTGCCTGGCTTCCCACCTGTTAGCTTATGTTTTGAAATACCATGCAGAGTTCTGGTATTTGTTGTGCTCTCATAGTTTCATAAACTAATTTGCGTGGTATTCTATCGAAGGCCTTTTCCAGGTCTATGAACACTAGGTGGAGGTCATCTTGTTGGTTCGGTGTTTTTCCATCAGAATCCTTATGGATGGGATTGCATCAGTCGTTGATCTTCCTTTTTTTAGAGGAGAGGGGGCAAACGAGCATACGGCTCACCTGATGGTAAGTGAATACCGCCGCCGCCCATGAGCAACTGCAACACCAGGGGAATTGCAGATGCGTTGCCAGCCTTTTGAAAAGGAGTGGGTTCTTTTCTATAAGGTCCCTAAGTCGTATCGATCCGGAAAAATTTCCGGTGGTAGTCGATTCCACAAGGAAGTTGTGCGAGGAAGAAAACTTCTTTTAAATCGCACGGCGGTGGACCGCCAGTCATCCAAATGGTATGGATGATATCGTGAGTTTTGTCGCGATGTGCGATGGTGAAATTGTGCGGCTGGAATTAGTCCGAAAATTGTGCGACTGGAATTTGTCGATACGATTAAATGGAAGGAGCTGGCACTGGGGAGCTCCGGCCCAGAGATGGGAACAGTATTCCATGTGCGGCCGAACCTGCGCCTTGTATAATTGCAGGCGGTGAGCCGGCATGAAATACTGTCCCGCTCTACTGAGCACGCAGAGCTTTTTAGAGGCCAATTTGGCCTTCTCTTCCAAGTGACCACGAAACTGCACGTTACTCGGTATGTCGACGCCGAGGATTTCAATACTGGCTGAGGCAACAAGGGGAGTGCCTTGAAACTGAGGAAATACGACGAAGGGGTTTTTTCAGCGGTAAACGCGCAAACTTGTGTCTTCTGGGTATTAAACTGGACTGGATTTAGTCGCCCCCAGCAACTACAGTTTCACTTCAACAAAGGTCCCGGTACTCTGCGACGTTTTTCCGAGAAATATTGGCACGGCTGGTGTATAAAAAATCACCAGTGCTGTCGTCTGCATAGCAATTAATGTTACCGCTTTGCGACATATCATTGATATGCAGAAGAAACATCGTCGGTGATAGCACGCAGCCTTGTGGAACACTAGCGTTAATGTGCTTATAATCGGAGCATGAACCGTTTACTACGATCTTGATGTTCTGATCAGCAAGAAAACTGATGATCCAATTGCACAATTTTTCGGGAAGCCCATAGGAAGGAAACTTCGTAAGAAGCTCTTTGTGCCAAACGCTTGTGCCTTCGCTATGTCCAAACTAACGGCCTCCCCCTTGGACTCTACTGCCTTCGCCCATTTGTGAGTTAGGTAACCTAGATTATCACCAGCCGAGCGACCGCGACGGAAACCGTACTGGCGGTCACTAATCAGCTGGTGATCTTCAAAGTACCGCATCAGCTGGCTGTTAATAATGGATTCCATTATTTTAGAGAACAAGGGGGTGATGACGATAGGCCTACAGTTGGACGGATCAGAGCGGTTATCTTTTTTAGGGACCCGGTGCACGAGGGCTGTCTTCCATGATTTCGGGACTACGCCGAAGGAGTAGGAGTACCAGAAGACTCGTTAAAATCGGTACCAACTCCGGAGCACATGTCTTCAGCACAATAGGAGGGTCACCATCCGGCCCACTCGACATGTTGACGTCCAGGGAGAACTCGACTTGTTGAGTCCTGACGTGAAACCGCACTTATTATTAGATTTTAACACCAGCTGCCCCAGATGGTTGTGTAGTATGCGATCGCATAGTTTCAATGTATGGGAAGTAAGTTTGATACCCCTATTATTTCCGCAGTCACTGACATCTCATTTGTACTTGTAGAAAGGTACAGGATAACTATTACGCCAGGACTTTTAGGTCTTCATGGAGGTTTAGATTCCTTTTATCCATTAGAGCTTCGTTAGCCACTGTACAGCAATAGGTCTCGGCAACTTTCATAGATCAGCGGATATACTATCCAGCCGAACTGCATTATGGTTTTTCACCTTGTTTGGGCTCTTATGACCTCCTACTCACCTATCTTAAGAGTGAAGCTCAATACATTCATGAGTGATATTGTCACGGTATCGGACGGCGTCCCGCAGGGTAGTATATTGGGCCCCACACTTTTTCTAATCTATATTAACCAAACTTAGTTGTCTGCAAATCGATAAAGCCCATACTCTCTCGTACGCCGACGATACTGCTGTTATTTTCACTGGAAGAGGGAAATTCGGCGACGGTTAAAAACAGGAATGATGCTGATCAAATCATATATGTGATTAGGGAACGATTTCCATTAGATAATAATTTATCTGATTTTATAAACAGTATGAAGTGGATGTGCTATGGCAAACACTGAATTCATTTGGGTTGAACGCTGGCTTGATACAGGCATTGGAGTCGCTTTATAGGGACTCTAGTAATAATTTCTTAAATTTACGCGAACACTACACATTGAATAAAACTATTATTTACGGATTTTATCGCGTTTAATTACTTTTAAGTAATTAAACGCGATAAAATCCGTAAATAATAGTTTTATTTAAAGGGACTCTAGTGCTTGTGTTAGGATCAACGGGGTCTACTCGGACTGGTTTGGGATCCATAAAGGTGTCTGACAGGGCTGTGTGGCTTCCCCGTTGCTGTTCAACCTATTTATGGACAGTTGTTTGCAAAATTTGAAAGTTGAAGAATGCGGATTAAGAATGGGTGAGTTAACCGTCAAATGCCTTTTGTACTCCGATGATCACGTTATTCTTGCGTCGGCGGCGGCCGAGCAAATGATGGTTACATTAATGAATAGATCATTAAAAGAAAGGGGTATGAAAGTGAACGCAAGTAAGACGAAAGTGATGGTTTTGAAAGAGAAGAAAGTAAGACGATATGTGAAATAAGAATAGAAGGGGAGTTGATCGAGCAAGTAGATGAGTTTGTATATCTGGGTTGCGTATTTAGCAGGGATGGGAGATGTGATAAAGATATAGAACGACGAGTCAATGCAGGAAATAGAATAAACTATTGTGAATGAAGAGTCAAAATGTTTCAAAAAAAGGCACGTATGGCAATTCACAATGCTGTGTTGGTGCCTACTTTAACGTATGGTAGTGAAAGTTGGGTGTGGCAGAAGAAGCACGAGAGTAGAATGAACGCAGTAGCAATGCGGTCGTTAAGGAGTATGTTAGGGCTGAATCTTAATGACAGGGTAAGAAATTGTGTAATAAGAGAAGAGTGGGGTTTGCAAGATGATGTTGTGACCAGGATTAAGAAAGGAATGCTTCGGTGGTTTGGTCATGTGTAAAGAATTAATGAGGAAAGAGTGACAAAGAAAATTTATGTTGCAGAAGTGAATGGCAGAGTCGGAAAGGGACGCGGCGTCAACCAAATTGGCGAATTGAAAACGGGCCAAATTAGGAGTACACTTAACAGACGAGCATGTATGCGAGTGTATGGATGTGAAGGAGGCGAGAGTGTGTGTCAGGATCGTGCCAAATGGAAGTCTGTAGTCTCTGCCTACCCCTCTGGGTGACAGGCGGAGTGTTTATGTATGTATGAATATTAATAGACGAACATCTGATTTTACTAGTATTGCAGCTCATTCCAATACTAATATTATATTCCCCCGTCTAGAATATAGTGAAGTTATATCATTTGCCCTAGGAACATATCAGATTCGACAAGCAAGGCCCTATTATAGTGAACATATCAGATTTGAAATAAGCAGGGAAAACATTAATGTAACAGACTATTGTTTGAGAGGAAGTGGAAATAATTCACTTATAAGAGACAAAATCAAATCCAGACACATTACGAGAAAAGTATATTATGTTTATATATCAATTGAAAATAATGTCTCTGGAAGGGAAGCTATATAATAGATATCTAATAGATTATTGCTGTAATTGTTTATTTGGTAGAAAGACAGTTAGGCGATGTGCGCATGTTACGAAGCTTGTGTGGTACCTTCTGTGGGCCAGGCATCAGGCGACTATATCGGCGCCAGCGGCATACCTTGATGATGTAGTTGTAAGAGGATGATGAACAAAAAGTAATTTTATCTAGCCTACTTATTTCATTAAACTCTCTCTATAACATTCCTCTCCCCTCGTGGACTCCGTTCAGTGTGGACGTGTTTCATTTTTAGTTATTAAACAAAATTTATTTAAAATTTAAATTCATTGAATTTTACGCTAAATAATAGGACCGCAGAAATCTTGTGGAGGTGTTGATATACTAGAAAGAGCCGGGTGAGTGAAATAAACATACTTGTTGCGCTGTCATTGGCTTCCGTTAGCGACGCCTTCTTGCGCTGGAGCACTGCTTGCGGAGGCGTGTCAACTTTGCATCGCACATCTCAACTTAATAGTCATCCATCTTTCTCATCAAGTTGCCGACGGAAAGTTTAACTGCGCTTGCATTTAGGCCTACTCGCTATTATTTTATGCATACGCCTAATTGATTCAAGCTTTACTCAACTTTTGCTTTACAAAAATTGAATTATGCCGCTAAAACGTACACCACC